ATGAATATACTTTTTTAAATAACATAAAAGATAAAAAAAAGTTGAAAAATTGAGATACCACCTTTTTCGTTGGTGCAGACGATATAGTTAACATAAGTTATAATAATATAGTAGATACGGTTTGTATATGTATTTATCTAACCATGCTAAAGATATTCTGATACATGGAACTTTTACTTAAAATCTAATAAAATAAATAAATATTTAATAATTGTCTTAAATTCAATTTGGTTTACCATAATACCAAATCTATAACATTATAAACTAAAAAATAGGTACTTATTAACGTATATTTTTGTCATAAAAATGGTTGGTTGTTTCAGTTTATTAGGGCCAGACGTACTGTAGAATATAACTAAAAATTTGTATAATTMTATGCATATAAAAAAAACATAAATTAATATAATACTAATTGAAAATCTAATACTTCATCATATTTCATATATAAAAAACGCATTGCAGAGGTACCTATAACATAATGTTAATTTTATAACATCGTTATGATGTGGCGATGCATCGCCATATTATAATTTTAAGATTTTATTTTAACTCACAATGTCTTTATTTGACATGCACATTTTGTCCTCTAGTGTACATGTTCTCGTTTAAAATTACTACCAAATGAAGGGTCTTGGGCGGATTCAGTTTATATTTAAACAGATTGCAGCAACATTGAAACACATGTTACAATTCTATTAGAATACCTACAAGACCTGAGTAGTCATATTTTTAAATCATACTGGATAATAATAAAATCCCTCATCAAAGCACAATGAACTATAATATTGAATTAAAAATATATAACATAAATATTTGAATAAACGCAGATAATTTATGAATATTTGAATTTTATTTTTTAATTATAGTCTTATTTCATCGATTTTCTGATTTCAAAACGTTCTTAATCCCATTCCAATTTTATTATAACTGATGATATTTGAAAGTATTGACGACAGAACTTTTTAAAATAGATATGATGCCCTGCAGACATATGCCACCCTAATACGATTTTATCTCTCAAAATAAACCCACGTTACTAAACCTGTCTGGAGTATATTTATTTATGTATACATTTTTATTATTTATTATTTGTTTTACCTTTTGTGAGTTTTTTCAGTATAGCTAATTTGTGTTCAGCACTCCTGGGTTCAGCTAATACAATCAGCAGATATCCACCGGTAAGTGGAGTTTCAACGTGGTCTGATGGGTTGCCCATTTTTAATTATTACGTGTTCAAAGTTTCATTAGATATGCTATATTATGCCTGCAACAGATAAAAAAGACACATCAATAAAATTGTGATAAATGAAATATTAATGTGAACATAAATTGTTAAATACAAGTATCAATGCAAAACAACTAAATTGATCATATTATGTAAATACCTTTTCAAAAGCCTACGATTCCCTAGTCAATGTTACACATAAATATTTTATAACAATAATTTTMATTTTCAATTGAATTAAGAAATTTAAATTTGATCACTCTAATTAGTTTCTATTATGTACGGATATTGACTAGACAGGCTAAACATATAATAAATTAAATATTCAAAAGATAATATGATATTACCTTCATAATTAATTTGTGTAGGAACGTCAACTAAACTAAAATAATAAGACACCTTATTTTTAAGAGCATAAGTATCTATTGTCCCAACTAATAAATATTTGYTCTTTTACTAATGTCAACACAGTTGACTTTTTTATGATTAACTAATTTATTGTAATTATGACACGGTGCAAGCGTAAAATGTAATTTTACAATTCTTACACTATTTTATATAGTAAACAATATGTTGTTCTTATTGCGAAAATATAAATAACTTTTATTTTATTTTTTTAAATAGCTATGAAGAAAGAAAACTCTATAACAGCCATTACAGAAATGATACTGTAATATTTAACCTATTTTCTCAACCCAAGTAACAGTCAATGATAGGATAAAGTTAATTTTTCAATATTAATAATTGTATTAATTATTATGGTTAGTGATTACATAAACCGAAAAATCAACTGAAAATTGCAAACATTTGAACCAAGTATTAATTTACTGAATCTATAGTTTAGTTCAAAAATCAAACTAATTCAATAAAAATACGAACCAAATTTGATAAAGATCATGTACAAATAAAATTGAATTATTATTAGTGCAAAATTAATATTTATACATCATTTTAAAAGTTTTTAAATTCAAATTTAATTTTTAAGTTTGGTTCGCCGAGTTTGTTACCTAAATTAAAACCTATCAGTGTAGATTCATATTAATCATTATTGACGTATAAACTACATCACACTTAACGTAAGAAACAGCAGTATTAATTATAAATTACTATATTGAAGATATAAATTAGATTTAATGTGATATGCTGGTTTAGTGACTAAAGCGCTGAGGAATAATATCTATACTAGCGAACTATTTACGAAATACCTACTACATTATTATTACTTCTATTGTTTATAATATGTAACAAACTAACAAATAAACTGGTATGACCAAATTTCCTAAGTTACTAATGACTTATTACTTATTATAATAAAATATAAAATAATCTGTAGAAATAAACATATAGTACAAAAGTAGAATATAGATAAACAATTTTTTTTTTGTGTGTGTGTGTGTGTGTTTTTGTGTGTGTGTGTGTAAATATTTCTTTTATTCTATGCGGAATCTATACACTGACACACTGTGCAGTTAATATTGAAGGGTAGATGAAATACAAAATATATATTATACATACTATATTGTAATAGCTTCTACATTCTAATATGGATATAGATAAGATGAGAATAAAATTGAAAAATGCAATTTGTTGATAAATAAAATAAAAGGATTTAAATATTACAAAAGCATATTGATATCCCAAGCACGGAATAAAATTAAGAGTATGTAATAAAATATGTTAATTGACTTTAGTGTACCTACCTAGTTATTGCTAATTTAATAATTTACATAAGTGATATAATATATAATTAATTATTTATTATTCTTGTAATACCTAAAAATATCTTTGAGGGTAAAGTCAGTAAGACATTAAACTAAAGGTACAACATGTCTTATAAAGATTTTAAATTAGGGATCATCAATTTTAAATAACAAAGTAATATCATTTACATTATTATTATACCTAATTTTAAATTATGTTAAATCCTCGCGGGGCACCATCTATACAGGTTACAGGTATAAAGTAAAGTATAAAAAATATATTATTATGTTTAATTTGTTTTTAGTTAGTTATTACTTTATTAAGTTAGCTTAGAACTTATTATTAATTATAAATTAATTATTCAAAAAAAAAATAGTAATTAATTTTAACATTAAAAGGACGCCATATCCGCATGGGTTGTCTCCATCTTACAAACCCGTAACATAGCAAATTCTACGGTCTGAATAGTTAATTAAACTATGTTACGTTTAATTTTAAAGTAGAACTGACCTATAACCAAATTTAGAAATAAAAATATTAGATAATGAATAACATCAAGTTTTTTTTTATTTCAATTTTAAAGGCGAGTTATAATTTAAACAATTTTAAATTTTAAAATACTCATAGTTAGCTTTAAAATTAATATACAAAAAACCTCAAGTTATTATTAACAAAATAATATTTTTATAATAATTATAACTGCTGAATTTGGTAATAGGTCAATTTACTTTAAAATTAAACATAACAGGGTTAGATTAATTATTCAGAATGTACAATTTGCTATGCTATTTGCTATTTGCTTATAAGACGGAGACAACGCATCAGGTATAGACGGTATAGTGTCCTTTGAAATATGTATGTCTWATGCATACTTTTGTTACAATTCAAATTATTATTTTATATTTTTTTAACCACCAACCATGGTATATGAAACTTACTCTAATAATAAAAACTAAATATATATACATCGTACTTTACATGTATATAATATATATTATTAACTTTATTAAAAATGTAATAACTATTGAGAAAGATTGATCTATTAATTTCGACACACAGATTATATGTGAATGAATAGATTTTTAAAAAAAAGTATATGCTACCTTTATTTCGGACTGTAATAAGAAATGTTTTTTTCAATTTTCGTTGAAGAATATTTGGTGATAAGATTTTATTCAAAACTATTAACTATTTAAACACAATTTGCTTCAATAATTAATAAAACATTTTTTTTCAACTTCCAATAGAATATGCAAGGCACATATTGTTGTATTAAATTTTTTTTCATATATTTACATAGACATATTATAATAACGAAACTGTATATTTTTATGCTCAATTCCAGACACTTTTTATTATTTTTTATTTTTAGAACCTTTAGTTAGTAACTATTACAGTTCAACAATTACAGATAGTGATTACATAAGCCAATAAAAAATAAAAATAACATAGAGGCAATAGACATTGGTGGTGATTAAACGATAAGTATACAAAAGGTATAAATGTGAAAATAATGATTTTGGACTCKGGGAAGATATAATTATTAAGGAGTGAAGGTATTCTTAGATATATATTCCAGACACTTAATATATGTAATAGTGAACAAAAAATATGACGGAAGCTAAACATTTATTCATAAAAATGTGTAGATTATACTATTATAGGTGTTCAACAACTGGGACAATTTCTACGGTACGTTGGATATCTTAAAACTTAAATCCATCAAACATTTGAACTTTAAAGCATCATTTCTAGGCACTTTTCAAATATTATAGATCTTAAAATGAAAAATTGTTTGTGTTATATCATTAATATTATAATTTAAATAAATTTTACTTTTTAAAATTAAAAATAACCTTAGATCACCGTATTATTATATTCATGAAAATAATCCATTTATTTTCAATTGATGAAAAAAATAATGTTATACGTGCATTATAATAACACATATACGTAATTTATATAAAAATATATATCATAGGTACCTCATGGTATTTTATTTATAACGAAAATAGACCATTTAGACCTTTTTACCTTTATAACTAACACAGAATTATAGCCACAACATAATAGAAAAGTAAGTATTGTAGTAGTAGTAGTAGTAGTAGTAATAGTAAAAATCTATTTAGGAGTTTAGGATATAATAGTTAACTTATACTGCGGAATTAGCTCGGGAATTGGTATTCACTTCCTACTCAAACATTTTATTTAGTTTAACATCGACTGTACGACTATTAGTATAACCTTCCATTATCTACAAAGAAACTATTGAATCAATCCAAGAGTCTCCTAACT